GAGCCCGGCGTGACGTCACGCCCAATGAAGGGCGCCCCCGCCTTCATAGCGTCACAGCCCGCCAGAATGGGTGTGGCTTAGCGTATAAAATAGGGGCTGTAGGCTGACATCCCTGGTTTTTCGTCGACTGAAGCGAAGTCGCTCGTGGCGCGAGCACGGCCGGTTAAACAATACTCGTTCCCTCTCTAGAGAGAACCGAGGTTACGTTAAGTAACCGAGTATCGTTCTCTTACGAGAGGTTCTCTCGTATTGCGTAAGTTTAGCTTACGCTATGGGAACACTTTGTCAACGCCGTGCGCGCCAAGCATCCACCATGAGTCCCCGAACTTTCAGGGGAACCCAATAAATGGAAGAAATAAGGTGGCCAGCCACGCAGGCCATCACTTGTACCTAAGCACACATAGGGAATACAGAGCAGCGCGCTGGTCTGTATAGGCACATGGCACATACCCTACTGGTGCAGCTCAACCAGGAGAACTGAGTCACGTGAGAGTGATCTGAGCAGGAAGTTCTGGGCAGAATACACATCTCCTTTAAACTGACAAAAGTTTAGCCTGCAAGGCGGGAACTTCTAGGTTATAAAACCTGACAAAGGTAGACGGGGAGCTCCAGCCCGCCGCTACACATATGTCATGGATAGAAATCCCACTGGACCACGCCCACGATGAGGCAACGCCCCTCGTGGAATGAGCCCTGATGCCCAGAGGGCATTGCAGACCTGTTGACGCATATGCAGTTGCTATAGCGTCCACTATCCATCTGGACAGGCTTTGTTTCGAGGCGGCGAGACCCTTGGTGCGCCCACCAAACGAAACAAAAAGCTGTTCTGAACGCCTGAAGGAGGCGGAGTGCGTAATGTAACACCTCAGCGCCCTGACAGGGCAGAGGGGATTCACATCACTTTCGCAGTCAGATCCTGGCAGAGCTGACAGTGAAATAACTTGCGCTCTGAATGGAGTGCCCATCACTTTAGGAACATAGCCATGTCTAGGTCTGAGGATGACTTTAGAGTCATTCGGCCCGAACTCAAGACACGACGTGCTGACAGACAGCGCGTGCAGGTCCCCCACACGTTTTACTGACGACAGTGCAGTCAGAAAGACGGTTTTTAGTGATAGATATTTCAACCCCACGGAGTCTAGTGGCTCAAATGGAAAAGCTTTCAGGGCCTCGAGGACCAATGAAAGATCCCACACAGGAACCGACGGGGGGTGCGGCGGGTTCATCCTTCTAGCTCCTCTAAGGAAGCGGATGACCAACTCATGTCTTCCTAGTGACTGGCCGTGCGTTGATTCTGCGAACGCTGCCATGGCCGCCACATATACTTTGAGCGTGGATGGGGACCTCCCCTTATCCAAAAGCTCTTGTAGGGAAGTGAGCAGATGCACCACCCCGCATGTCCGTGGGTCCAGACCTCTGTCGGTGCACCATCTGGAGATCACCGACCATTTAGACGCGTAGAGCCTTCTCGTGGAAGGAGCTCTAGACTGCGTGATCGTGTTCATCACTCCTTCTGGCAGGGTAACGAGTACCCGTTGATCAACCATGCGTGCAGAGACCAGCGCTCTGGATGGGGATGCCAGATCGCACCGCGAGCCTGAGAGAGGAGATCTGCCCTCACCGGAATCGGAACCGGTATGTGACAGCCGTGCTAGTTCCAGGAACCAAATCTGATTCTCCCAACGCGGGGCTATGAGGAGCACCGAGTGGCGCGTTTCCCTGATTCTCTTGATCACCTGTGGTAACAGAGAGACCGGAGGGAAAGCATATAGTGGAAGGCTGGGCCAAACCTGGGCCAGCGCGTCCTCGTCCTTTGAAAAGAACATCGGACATTGAGCGTTGTCTCTTGACGCAAATAGGTCGACTTCCGCTCTGCCGAATAGGCGCCACAGTTTCTGGACCGTTTGGGGGTGCAGGGACCATTCCCCTGGGGGAACGTTGTCCCTGAATAGTTTGTCTGGGCCGTCGTTTAGATGGCCAGGCACATGCGCCGCCCTCAGTGAGCGCAGGTGCATCTGGGACCTAATAAGGAGGCGTTCCGTCAGACTGCAGAGATTTCTGGATCTGACACCGCCCTGACGGTTTACATAGGACACCACAGACATGTTGTCCGAGCGGACAAGAACATGTTGGCCCTGTATGAACGGGAGGAAGCACTTCAGCGGGTTCTCGACCGCTATCATTTCCAGACAGTTTATGTGAAAACACTTCTCTTGGTCCGACCACTGGCCAAAGACCGGTCTGCCCTCGAAGAGTGTGCCCCACCCCGAGTTGGACGCGTCTGTCGAAATGACTTTCCGATAAGAGATGGTTCCCATCATCACTCCCTGCTGGTACCAGTCGGCTACTAACCAAGGCTGCAGAGCCGCTATGCAGGTCTGAGTCACTCTGATTTTCTGGCCGCCAGAAAACAAAGCTCGGCGAGACGCGCGAGCATTCAACCAGCGTTGGAGCAGGCGCATGCGCAGTAGGCCCAGCTGAAGCACCGCTGCAGCTGATGCCATACAGCCTAGCATCCTTTGAAACGTTTTCAAAGGGAGAAAGCTGCCCTTCTGGAAAGATGCGGCTAGGTGGCGAACACGGCGCGCGCGCTGTGTCGATAAACGAGCCGTGATGGCCACAGAATCCAGTTCTATTCCTAAAAAGGAAATCGACTGGCTGGCATTAATGAGCTCTTGGTCCAGTTGACCGTGAGACCCAAGCTTTCCAGGTGACTGAGAAGCACTGTTCTGTGAGATAGCAGTTCTGACTGTGCCAATATCAGCCAATCATCCAGATAGTTCATTATTCGCAGCCCCTGACTCCTCAGTGGGGCGAGCGCCGCGTCCATGCACTTCGTAAATGTACGGGGTGCTAAAAGACAGGCCGAACGGCAGGACGGTGTATTGATAAACCTGACCGTCGAAGGCGAATCTCAAGAATGGCCTGTGACGGGGTATTATCTGAATCTGAAAATAGGCATCTTTCAGATCGAGAGAGATAAACCAGTCCCTCGGGCGAACGTGCGCAAGGATTTTCCAGGTCGTAAGCATTTTGAACTGCCTTTTCAAAAGCACTTTGTTCAAATGTCTCAGATCTAAGATGGGCCTGAGGGCTCCGTCCTTCTTGGGCACGAGAAAAATATCAGCTGTAAAAGCCTGACTCGCTCAGAGAAGGCGGTACCAGCTCTATAGCACCTTTGCACAGTAGCTTCGCTATTTCTGCGCGGAGTAGATGTGCTACTTCTGCATTCACTGTCGTCGCGGTCCGCGCTCGAAAGCGTGGGGGACGGCGAACGAACTGACGTGAATAGCCCTGCTTTACTGTGCTTAGCACCCATTCTGAAGAACCCCTGGGATAGCTTCCCATGCTTTTATATGTACAGCTAGGGGGCGAATGGCCTCCGCGCTCTGATCGCCGCACTTTGGGGGATCGAGAAACTGAACCGGAGGAGTGGGCGCAGTGCGCGCGCCCTCGGTACTTGGAGGCGGCAGCTCGCTGACAACCGTGACAAGCTGAATTGTGTGTGACGTCCCAATTGCCATGAATGGGGATCGTTCTTTTACCACTTTGTGATGCGCGAACAGCACCCTGGGCGAATTGTCTATTAGTAAGCGTGAGCGCTTGTGCGCGGGCACGAGACTTACATATGAATGTGACGCCCTGATCGCTTTGGATGGGGAGCGTTTTATGATCGCCTTGAGACGCGAGCGTGGCGCTATGGGCAGAGTATTTATTAGTAAGCGTGAGCGCTTCTGAGCGGGCACAGGACTTATAAGTGTTATAAGTGACGCCCCGATCGCTTGGGATGGGCGGCGTTTTATAGTCACTCTTAGATGCGCGGGCGGCGCTCGGGGAGAGGTATGTGTTAGAAAGCGTGAACGCTCGTGGGCGGCACGTGACTTACATTCATAACCTGACTGATATGAGTCTTTAACCCTCTGGGGTCTAAGGTGTTTTTGGGGCCCTTGGGATGTTTTGACATGCCCTGACATATGTGCTTTTTTCAGTTATTTATAAACATGTTAATGGCAAAGGTGTAAATTCACTCTATATAGCACAAACGGGGCTACCATAATATGTGAGCAACATGTATGTACATGTTTGTATTTTTAAGAGAATAATGTTTATGCGTGGTTATTGAAAAAAATAAAAATGAAAGTTGGTGAAATAAGACCACAAAACACATACTAAATATGTGTCCACAAGACTTTTGACTAATGGATGTTGTCGCTTCGAGTTCTGGCTTCAAAATGATGTGAAAATCATCCTGTCTAATTGTTCACATAAAACAAAACAATTATATTTATACTTTGTATGACAGTTTCTTTGTCAGAAGAGGTTTATGCATGGGAGTGGTAATGGCCTATCAATATTAATGAGATTCAGACCAGGGGTGTGACAGACACTCCCCCAATGGCTAATGGGCCATCAAGTGAGGCAGCCTGAACAAAGAATGAGAGGAGATTCAAAGGTTTTCAATCTGTTTTATTGTAATTCCTCTATGTGGAGAAACTAAATGCTCTAAATTTGCTCTAAGCAAATCAAATGTGAGTAAAATAAATAAATAATCAGTCAGCTATAAACAAAGCAATTGTGAGCGATAAATAAACAAAAGTAAAGGCAGGTATCTCACAGTAAATGCTTATGCCCTGTTGATGCGGGCTCTAAGCAAATCAAATGTGAGCAAAATAAACAAAAGTAAAGGCAGGTATCTCACAGTAAATGCTTATGCCCCATTGATGCGGGCTCTAAGCAAATCAAATGCTGCGTGTATAGTACCGGTGAAAAGTTTGGACACATTACTATTTCTAATATTTTAAAAAATAAATAAATAAGAGTAACACAGTCACACATCTTTATGCCACTCTTGAAAACAGTTCCTGTTCAACTGAAGACATAAGCGAACTTTGCATGCCTGGCATTTCCATGGTGTTAATTGCTTTTTACCACGCACTGCTTTGCAATGCACACATGTGCGGCGACCAAGTGTGGCAACATCCCTGCCTTCTGATGGCAGCTCAGCTCCTGGAACCGGTACTATTGGTCCGTTTTGGTGCCGTTTTCTGTGACACACCACAGAGGTCTGTGATAAGTTGCTCCATAAACTCTTTATGAGACAAGTTACCATGTAGCTCTTTGTGCACAATGAAAGAGTTGGTGGAAGCAATGTCCAAGAAGTGTAGAAAAATCGTTCTGTACCACTTCATGGTTTTGTGCTGTGTTGTGTAGTACTGTAACAGCTGATCAGACAGGTCAACACCACCCATATGTTTGTTGTATGCAGTCACAGGTGCAGGACATGGAAATGTCTTTGTCCTCCATGTATCCTGTGTTTTCACCCTCCTCTGTGCAGTGTCTCGCGTATAAGCAGGATGGATGGTAGAACAGACAGATACCTCTCGTGTGTCCATCCACTTCACAAATACAAGAGGTCCATCCCGAATCCACCTGATGGATCCCCTGGCAGATTTTTTAGCGAGTGAATTAGCTGCATTCCGAGGGCAGTCCTTCCTGTTGTCCCTGTAAGTCCCACATGCACCAAACTTCACTGCAAACATGTCTTTTAGGAGCTTTGGACTTGTATAAAAATTGTCCATGTACACATGGTACCCAGAACCCAAAAATGTGTGGTCTAAAAGAGATGTTACAGCATCATATGACAGTCCATGGCCTGTGGGAAAGGTGTTCTTTCCTGTGTATACAGAAAAGTCCACAGTGAATCCATTCGATGAGTCTGCAAGAACAAACAACTTGAAACCCCACCTGGTTGGCTTGGCTTTCATGTACTGTGTCATACCTGTGTGTGCTTTGCATGCCACCATTCTTTCATCCACAGCTAAGTTTCTTTTAGGATGATAGATGGCTTTACAAGCATGACGAATGGTGTCCATGAGAGGTTTGATCCTGAAAAGACGGTCATGTTCAGGTGTGCCCCTCTTCCTGTCATTCTCCTTATCTGCATCTGGGTGACTCATGTGCACATTCCATGAAATGGTGCGGTATCTGTCCCTGGACATAACTGTGGCTGGAAAGGGTACGGAGAAAACCCTGCTTTGCCGCCAGTAGTCTCTGATGGAGCTGACCTTCACCATTGCCATGTAAAACAGCAGCCCAATGTAGCGGTACATCTCACTGATGTTGACATCTGTCCATTTGTATTTGCAGCCCTTTGCAGTTGCCTTGGCAGCCTGGGCATTGGTGTTGTGGCACAGAGTTGACACAGCACTTTCTGAAAAAAATAGTTTGAATAGACTCATGGGCGAATGCGAGTCTACAGAGCTCAGTTGCAGTCCAGTTTCCCGTGCAGGAAGGAATCGCAGTGTCTGTGGAACCATGTCAACATCAGTCTCTGTTTTCCATGATAGAGTGGACTGCCTGTTGCTTGCCTGCTTGTTTGCCTTGGCTCTCTTCGGAACTGGTGGATGGACGTGTTCATTGTCACATCTGTTAAAAGGAAAAAGCGTGAGCATGCTGATAACACAATCAAATAAACTGTATTATTATCATTATCAATCACTAATTGCCATGGATAATTTTTTTTTTTTGTAATTTCACACATGAATAGGTAGCCTACTTTTACATTATGATGATGTAAACACAATTAGGCTAAATTTCATCTGTAAAATATTACGTCTGTGCACTTACTCAGTATGATTCTCGATCGCACTGAGAACTGAACGACACCTGCGTGTCCCTCTGCGAGGTGCTGGCGAAGGAGAGCATGATGCAGACACATTCCTAAAAAAATAATAATAATAAAAAAAAAACTGTTAGCATTAATTATCCAAAGTAAACTGATGGACAATTAATGGGTATGGATGCACAATGTATGTATATATCTGTTGGGCCATGGGACGGAGATATATCTGTTGGGCCATGGGACGGAGAAATATCTGTTGATGGCTGTGTTGGAACAAGTTTGTTGTAAAATATGTCATATTTTGTTTAATTTGATAACAGATTTATTTGTTATATGCCTGTAATTATTTAGTGTTATTCATGGCTTTAAATCTCCTGTTCACTTTATTTATGGTTTAGAGCTCCACCTAGTGGCAAATTTGACATTTCTTTAATTCTGCGAATTCTGGTATTCACGTGAACCAGGAAGTAGTGAGTGCTCCATGCGGGCAGCATTTTTCTGTAATCTCAAACCTTGCAACAGCATCGCTTGTAAGTATTTATTGATTTTGCATGGATGTTTATAATACTTGCATATAAATGTGAACTGTTACAGTTAAATACAGTTATTAATAATTTTCAATTAGGCTATTGCATTAGCCATATTGTGCTTGTATTCATTATATTTACATTACAAAAATGTCACGTTTAATTGTAAGCATATTATTGAAATGTTTATTTGTTGTGTTTGTAGTTTCACTCTATACCCAAGACCATTAAACCTGTGGACAAACAAGGCATACTGTCTTCAGAGTCGTGTGAGGGAAGAGTTTATCTGACTGTCAATATACTAAAATGATGTTGAGGACAGTACAGTGAAAAAGCGGCTGCAGGAAAGTTACAGTAGCAGCTCGTGAAGATTCAAGTAAATTGAAAGAGTATTGTGTACGCAATGGAATCCACACCCTCACTCAAAACCAGATCCTGTTTGTCATGTTCACGATCGGGCAGTTCCTCTACAAATGCTGCAGCCGCTCTGGCCAGAGCAAAAGCTGAAGCAGCCAAGGCACGTTTAATGTATGCAGATGAGGAGGAAAAAATAAAGGTGGAGAAAGCCAAATTGGAGGCAAAAATGGATAAAATGGTGTTAAAGAGAGAAACTGCTGCAGCCGTAGCCGAAGCAGAGGCCTTAGAAGCAGCGGTTGACACCAGCAGCGTCCATAGTAAACATGCTCCTCCACTGGAAACAGCTCCAGTTGATGTTATGCAGCGGACATGTGAATACGTGGAACAGATGAATCTACATGAAGCGACAGAATCAGCATCAAAAGCAGACCCACTTCTTCCAGATGAGATCATACAGCCACACACAGAGTTTGCAGACAGAAATTCTGTTCCCGCTCCACGTTTCAAGGAAGAGAGTTGCTCAGACGATGCTGAATTTTGCCACATGCAACCAAGAAAAGATTCTGCACAACCATCACAATTCTCACCAGCCATGAATCATTCTTCTGGTAACACTCCAATTAATAACCAGCGTAAAAAGCACGCACGTTTCAACAAAAGCAGCACACCGCCTTTCGCAATGGCAAGTCCAACACCTCAACCTTCCCAACAAGACAAGACAGACATTTCGGACTTTGTCAGATATTTTGCTCGGCGTGAACTTAACACTGGTTTAATACAGTTCAATGACCAACCAGAAGGCTTCAGAGCCTGGCAACGGTCCTTTCATAATGCTGTAAGTGGTTTGAACTTGACACCTAGTGAAGAAATGGACTTGTTAGTCAAATGGTTGGGAAAGGAGTCAGCTGAACACGCTAAACGCATGAGGTCAGTACACATTAATCAGCCATTGAAGGGTCTTGACATGATATGGACTAGACTTGAAGAGTGTTATGGTGCTCCAGAGGTCATCGAAAGAGCACTTTTCAAGCGTGTTGAAAATTTTCCGAGAATTTCAAGCAGAGATTACTCAAAGCTTCATGAATTGAGCGATCTTCTTATGGAAATAGAGTCAGCTAAAGCAGATGGATATCTTCCAGGCCTGTCATACCTGGACACAGCTAGGGGCATCAATCCCATAGTTCAGAAGCTGCCATTTAATCTACAAGAAAAGTGGTTGTCACATGGATCTGGTTACAAAGAAAGGAATGGTGTTTCATTTCCTCCCTTCAAGGTCTTGGTTGATTTTTTAAGTCAGCAAGCTAGAATAAGGAATGATCCAGGGTTCAACTTTGCAACTCAGACAGATTCACTTTATAAAGCAGACAAGGCAGGTTGGAAGCCAAGCAAATCAAGAGTAGTCTCAGTTAACAAGATAAATGTGTCTTCCCCTGTTCATTTTGATACAGATGAAGAGGAACGGACAACTGAGGATGATGAGAGACTTTGCCCCATTCACAAAAGACCTCACTTACTAAGGAAATGCCGTTCCTTCCGCGAGAAGCCTTTAAAAGAACGTTTTGCTTTTTTGAAAGAGAAGAAAATCTGTTTCAAGTGTTGCTTAGGCACAACACACACAGCTAAGTACTGCAGATTTGTGACAAAATGTGCAGAGTGTGGAAGTGAGAAACACATTTCTGCACTACACCCAGACCCAGCTCAGTCCGCTCAAGAGGCAACCTCCTCATTACAGCATGGCGGGGAGGGAGTTTCCACGGTACCAGCAGAAGTGGAAGCTAATTGCACTGAGGTTTGCAGAGGTGACCTTAGTAATAAGTCATGTTCAAAAATCAGCTTGGTGAAGGTCTATCCTAAATGCCAGCCTGAGAAAGCACTGAAAGTCTATGTGATTCTTGATGAGCAGAGCAATAAGTCATTAGCTCGTTCTGAATTCTTTGATGCCTTCAAAGAAAATGGCCCAGCTTCTCCGTATACCCTTAGAACTTGTTCTGGAGTGACAGAGACCGTCGGTCGAAAAGCATCATACCAAATCGAGTCTGTAGATGGAAAGGTAGTCCTCTCCCTACCAAGTTTGCTAGAGTGTAACAACATACCGGACAATAGGGCAGAGATTCCAACACCCAGTGCTGCTCTCTATCACTCTCACTTGAAGCCTATAGCTCCTTTGATACCAGAGTTAGACCCAGATGCTCCTATAATGATTCTTCTGGGTCGTGACATTATCAGAGTCCATAAGGTTCACAGACAGATAAATGGTCCTCATGATGCTCCTTATGCACAGAAGCTTGACCTAGGATGGGTGATAGTTGGCAATGTATGTCTGAACGGCATTCACAAGTCCACGACTGTGAGTACATTCTTCACTAATACAAAAGAACAGCGCCCATCCATCTTTGATCCCTGTCCAAATGTTTTTCATGTGAAAGAGAGAAACAGTGATGAGTGGAGAAATTACAATGGAATGTGTTCTGTGGAGCAACTTGTTTACAATCACAAAGGTGATCAGTTTGGTCAAGAAGTGTTTAAGGTTACCTGTGATGACAACAAAGTGGGCCCATCTATCAATGACCTGTCGTTCCTTCACATCATGGAACAAGAGCTGGAGAAAGATGAAAATAACAGCTGGGTAGCACCACTGCCTTTCAAAGCTCCAAGGTCCAGACTTCCCAACAACAGATGTCAAGCCATGAAAAGGTTGTCCACTTTGAGACGTAGTCTAGAGAGAAATCCGGAGATGAAAAAGCACTTCTTTACTTTTATGGGCAATGTTTTTAATAAAAACCATGCTGAAGAAGCTCCCCCTCTCATGGAAGGAGAAGAGTGCTGGTACTTGCCTCTCTTTGGTGTATATCACCCTAAAAAACCCGGGAAAATAAGAGTTGTCTTTGATTCCAGTGCCCGTCATGAGGATATCTCGCTGAACGATGTTCTTTTAACTGGGCCAGACCAGAACAACACTCTGCTTGGGGTGCTCATACGATTTCGACAGGAAGCTGTGGCCATAACAGCTGACATTGAACAAATGTTTTACTGTTTCTTAGTGAGAGAAGATGACCGCAATTTCTTAAGGTTCCTGTGGTTCTGTAATAATGACCCATCTGAAGACATCATTGAGTACCGCATGCGGGTACATGTTTTTGGCAACAGTCCATCTCCTGCTGTAGCCATCTATTGTCTCCGGCAGTCTGTCAAAGGTGGTGACCCTGAGGTCAAAAACTTTGTGAAACGTGACTTCTATGTCGATGATGGTTTGAAGTCTCTTCCTACAGTTAAGGCGGCAGTGGACCTCCTCAAAAACACACAGAGGACTCTTGCTGGTTCCAACTTAAGGCTTCACAAGATAGCTTCAAACAGCAAAGAGGTTCTAAAGGCCTTCCCACCTCAAGATCATGCCAGTGATCTCAAAGATTTGGATCTTGGGTTTGACATGCTTCCTACACAGCGCAGTTTGGGATTGAATTGGAGTCTGAAATCTGACACTTTTGCCTTTGAAATAGCTACTGAAGCAAAGCCCTTTACTCGTCGAGGTGTCCTATCCACCATTAATAGCATCTTTGACCCTCTTGGTTTTGTGGCTCCAGTTACAATCCAGGGCAAATCAATCATGAGAGAACTTAATAACCAGAATGATGACTGGGACTCCCTTCTTCCCAAAGAAATGGAGGAAAAATGGGACATGTGGCGACTTTCACTTAAGGATTTAAGTAAGCTCCACATTCCAAGATGCTACACAAACATATCACCTTCTACATCCACACGAAGGGAGTTGTTTGTTTTCTCTGATGCATCTACAAAAGCAATAGCTGCAGTGGCCTACCTTAGATTGACGGATACATGTGGAAGTAACCAAGTTGGCTTCATCATGGGTAAAGCAAAACTCAGCCCTGAGCAAACGGTTCCCCGTCTTGAGTTGTGTGCTGCGGTTCTGGCAGTAGAACTGGCAGAGTTCATCACATCAGAAATTGACATACCCTTGGATGACACTGCTTACTTTACTGATAGTAAAGTTGTGCTAGGCTACATATACAATGAGACCCGACGCTTCTATGTATATGTCAGCAATCGAGTCCTCCGGATTCGCAAGTCTTCACATCCAAATCAGTGGAAGTATGTGCGCACAGATGAGAACCCAGCAGACATTGCAACAAGGTCTGTCACTGCTGCTCATCTCCAAAACACCAAGTGGCTGCAGGGACCAGATTTTCTGATAAACA